CGAAACTCTATTGCTCTAATACCCAAATAACCATCTTACCAACCTTACCCAACTCCTTAACGGAACTCTATTGCTATTATACACAAATAACCAGTCTACCAACTTTACCCAACTCCATAACGGTATTCGATTGTTCATATACTAAAATAACCAGTCTACCAACTTTACCTAACTCCATAACGAAACTCTATTGCTCTAATACCCAAATAACCATCTTACCAACCTTACCCAACTCCTTAACGGAACTCTATTGCTATAATACTAAAATAACCAGCTTACCAACTTTACCCAACTCCTTAACGACACTCTATTGTAATGATACTAAAATAACCAGCCTTCCAACTTTACCCAATTCCTTAACAAAACTCTATTGTTACAATACTCCAATAGCCAGTCTACCAACTTTACCCAACTCTTTGACGGAAATCAGTTGCTTTGATACTAAAATAACTAGTTTACCAAATTTACCCGATTCCTTAACAATTATCAACACTAACTACTTAAAAAATAATATCTTTACCACCTGATATGATATCATTTAGCAATTAGCTGTTTTATTTTAACTAAAATTTATTTACTTTATGTACTAAATAAAAAAAATAATCAATTTTCTTTAATCAATAATTTGTACCATAAATTAATTGATGGATTTAAGAAAAATAATTTAAAAATTATATTACCTGATATAAATCAAGATTTACAAAAGGTTGTATAAAAAAAATTACCCGAAGAGAATTCTATTTCGAGGCGTAATTGAAAATCATCAAAGGATTTAATGATTTTGCCACACGTCGAAGCTTTCGCGGTTTTGTTTTTGAAAAATAGCAAGATGTCAAAACTGGTTTGAAGCTAGGAAACCGTGAAGTAATTTGCAACAGCAGATGTTAAACCGGTTAATTATGTCGTAACTTCACTCTCGTACATCTAAATTGTAAGTTAGAATTTAGGCGAAAATCGCAATACAGGTTACAAAGATTATCTATATATATGTAGTATATTATTATCATATTTTTATCCAATTTTATACAATCAATTTAAATATATTAATTATTTAAATGGAAACGAACGCATTATTTTCATGATTTGAATTTGTTAAAGGTTGAGAATTCAAATCTATTTATTTCTATCTATACTATTTGTCTCCATAATTGTTATAATATGGCAATCATCTGATTTAAAAAAAGGTTATTTTTTTACAATTTGTCCTTTTTCTCAGCACTGTCATGCTCCCCATATGAATGTTAAATATACAATATTTTATACATTATTAATAATATATGTTATTTACTTGAAGTTTTATTAAAAATATATATATATATATTCAAGTTAAAACTTTTTCACAACTTTTTTTCAAGGAATCACAGAAAAACACATGGAAGTAAAATAGGAATCACAGTAGTAAAAGTTGTTCTTTGACTCATGAAAATGTAACAATATAAGTACTCATTTGAGGTGGAGTGTAGTATATTTGTATTATGGTGGGTTTTCTTAAAAAAAAAATCTGAGTTATTGAAAATTAGCGCTCCAACTGTTACAAATTATTGGTATAGAAATAGAAGGCAATATAGAATATGATGTTGAAGATGAATCTGAAATTGTAAAATCTGATGAACACATGGAAATCTCATTTAAATTAGTAATTAGGAAAGAGGGTAAAAACTGTGCAGCAAAATGGGAAACTATTTATCCAACTAATGAGTACTTGGGCTGCATCAATTGTAAGGTTTCGCGTAATACTGCGTGATGATGTTCGCGTAACGTTAGTTCACACAACAAATTTCATGATTATAAATAACTTAATTAATATAATTTTATTTTAATTTTTAGGAACATGGTCTTTGTTAATCCTCCAAATCATTTCTCTAACAATCCCATCTAAAAAGTATTTTTTTTAAAAAAAATATTGATGTCTATATTTATAAACGAATGTATTATAGCAGAAAGTTTCTTGTAATAATTATGTTGATGAAAATTAATAAATCAGTACTGTCTCAATGTCAGCGTTTTTTACTCTTCGGAGTTAATGTCGATCGTTGCAGTACGGCTACATCGAGATATTTCGAAAACTGTCATCTATTGTCTATTAGAATCCAGCTATTAATCCCACCTTTTTAACTTAAAATCGGAAGGTCAATTTGGCCGGAGGTCGTGGTCAACTTTCCAAATCTGAGATCTAACTATATCGAGCAAACAATATCGGGATTACCAATTAAAAAAATAACAATACAAATAATAATCAATACGTCGCATGTGAAACTATTGAACTCTAGTGTACTTACTTTAAAAAGGATCAACTGGAATATTGTTGTCAAATAAAGTTGATAAATATTTGATTGTGGGAAATATTTAAATCGAAGGCTGAACTTAAAACTTGGAAAATAAAAGACTGTGTTAGGAATAAAATTTTCAATAATTATTCACAGAAATGGTCCTAAAAATCAACATAGAAAAAATCTTAAAAGACTTTGAAATAAGATTTAAAGAATTAGAGCAAAATAATGTAGAGTTACGCTCACAATTTAGAGAGCTAGAAGTAGATACCAAAGCCAAGCAATAAACTATTAATTTTTTAGAAGAAAAGGTTAGAGAACGAAAAGAATCTAAAGAAAAGATTAACTCATTTTTTTTTTCTCGCAAGTAAAGTGCTTTCTAATTGCAAAGGTCCAATATAATCAAATAAAAAAAAAAAATAAAGAAAATATGCCTTTTAACCACATTATTGAAATATTAAATTTTGATTTGCTGATGCAAATTTACTATTTTACTGATTATAATGTAACAAATCTTTGGCGATTGGATTAAATTTCCAAACGATAATAAAATTTAAGTTTATGACCATTATTTGCATATAAATAAATGCTTAATTAATTTACATAATTGCAAAATAAAAATTTTTCGGCATTTATTTATAAAATTCGAGTCGTATTTGAGTTTCACTATATCCCTGTAAATATTGACGGGTTCGGATTTGCTTCAAACCCGGTCAGAAGTAATAAAAATGTCGATCAAAGTTTATGATATTATGGATCGCATGTGGACTTTGCGGGAAAAATTAGATTATTTGGGTAGTATTCTATTAAAATTGAGGTATGGATCATATGATTTACTATGTCTCGTAACCCACTTTTAATAGATCAGCTCCCATTTGTTGACGATTAGGAATTTTTGTTTTTCAGCCATTAGGAATTCACGATAATAATCTCAACGCTTTGAGGTAAATATTAAAGGTTTTCGGATAATACGGGCGAAGAAGATTCTGGATAGTTATCAGTAAATAAAATATCATAACTAATGAAATTATTGCTAGAACTTCTGAAGTTATTCTTTCTTTGATTGAAACATTATTTTTTTTATTTAATTTATTTATTTTCAAAACGCCGTTAGATTTAAATTTTTAGGAACTAAGTATTGAAAGCGAAAATACAATCTGAAGGCTTATTCATAAATGCAGTACGGCTGAAAAAACCTATTGCTTATGTAACAACTTGTTTTGTTGAAGATTTTCGTATGATTCTTTTGATGAAAATTCGTTCTTAGTGATATAGAGAATAGTGTCAATGAACAATGAAAGTTTTCGCTTTTGATTTACCTTCTAAAGTATCCAATGAATATTAATTTATTCACAATCGTCAATAGTATTTTTTTTTGGTCAGAATTAGATTCGATAAAAGAAATATTACAAAGATATTCTAACTAATATCGTTGTCCACAAATTTTTTTTTTAAAAATTTTTTTTGACGTCATTAAACTTTGACCATGAAAAAGTTAGAACATCAAAGTAGCTATGCCCCATTCAAATATATTATGTAAATGTTGATTATTAAAATGAGGCTTAATGTAAATATTAACGCAATATTTTTGCTAAAATATTTAACTTTTCATGTTGCTTATACGATTTATGTGGCTTATGCACGTATAAATTTTATTGCTATGGCTTAGCAAAATAAAAAGGTTTCTAGTCTTAACTGTATTAAAGGCACAGTATTTACTAGTGTTTGAAACCTTGTGTTGGCATATAACAAAATCGTTTTTTTATTTTTAGAAAAAAAAAATACAAAATAAATTTAATAAATTCTAGATAATTAATAGAGATATTTGAAACAAAAAATGAAGAATGCTTCTTTTACAATAAAATAACACTCACTATTAAATTGGAGAAATAACACATCATCTGTTTTTTTTCTACCACCAACTTCTGGTTAATGTCATAAGAACAAAATTCATATTATTTCCGCTTGATAGAACTGAGCTTTCCATTTCTATAAAAGCTTGCAAATACTCATCTTTCTAAAAAAAAAAAAAAAAAAAAAAAGGTCAACAAGATACAAAATTGGCGGTTAATTTAATCCTTAATCATTCTATAATTTTATAAATATTATTTTTTTAATTAAATAATAATTATAAAACATATCTTATTATTGATTTTAAGTTGTATAATTTTTTATTATATTATTAAAATATTCTAATTAAACAAAAATGTAATAGCAAATTTTCACAAAATAACTTATTTATTATGAAACTATTGAATATCCTTCAAATGTAAATACTATACCCAATTGCAAATAACTTGATTATTGATTTCTTTCCTATTCAACAATCAATATTTTGTGCTATGTAGATTAGTAATAAAATACTTTTTTTACCAGTTAAGATAATATTAATTATTACCTTAATTCTAATAGCTTAACAAAGAAATCTCAGTTTAAATTGAAATAGAAAGTTAGTAAATTATATAGATTATTAAAAATATATCTATAATATTATTATAATTATATATTAGTATTTGCAAATATTCAATAATTCAGAAAACTTTTATTCAATTATAACAAATGATTTAATTTTTTGCAATTTCAAATTTTATATTCAATTTATATCATTAAAAAATATATTAAATTGTATTATATCAATCACGTTAATATTCAAACTCAAATAGTAATATATAATTATTACATCATTTTTTGCAAATTTAATAATTCAGAAAGTTTTAAAAAAGGTTTTATTCCATATTAACAAAATGATCTAATTTTTTACAATTTCAAATTTTATATTCAATTTCAATCATTAAAAATATGTTAAAATATATTATATCAATCTTGTTAACATTCAAATATGTTTTGCAAAAATTTTAAAGCAAAATTTATAATTGTTAATTTTATTTGATTATATATTATGTAACAGAAATTAAGTAAATTAGATCAATTAATAATCACCAATGATTCATCTTTAATTATTCCTTAGTTTAACCCCTAGCCCTAGTTTAATATTACTAAAAATTGTCAGAGTTTAATAAATAAGTTTATTATAACATATGATTTTTTTGGTAAATAAACTAAATCTTATTTACATTGTATTTCTTAGCTTCTTAATTGATAATCACAAATTAAATTTAAATTGATCAAAATCACATTTAAATTAAAAAATTAAAACAGGATTTTACTTATTTTCTCTTTAAGTTGATAATTTAACAATACTCATCCAAAAAGACTTATATTGTATTATATTATTGGTAATCTTGTCCTTGTATTCATATGATTCTTAAATATATACTACCAAGAAGATAAAATCGAATTGTTAAAAGATTAGAAAATAAATTCAAGATTTCAACTGACTACCAATATAAAATTGAAAGGAACTCAATTATGTTTATTTGTATTAATTATAAATTAGATTTAATTCCAAAATATAAAAAACAATATGTATCTTTTTCTGAATCGTCACAAGATCTTATAATAATTAAAAAAAATCAATTAGCTATTTTTTTATGTAATGATAGAATTGTGAGTAGGTGAGTAAGAGATATAACCTTAAAAAAGGTTTCAAATTTATTGAAAATAAGATCAAGTTAACAGTAGATAAACATTATAATATTAATCATGAAAAAAAACATGGAAGTTCTGAAAAGTTAATTGGTTATAGTCTTTGAAAAGATCCTTTAGGTACTTTTTCAGGTTTACATACTTATAAAAAGATTGTTAGGAAGAAATCTAGTTTGGAAGAACAATAGATATTTGATAATAATATAAATGTATTTGTGAAGTGGCTTTATAATATTACTAAAACAAACATGCCTTAGATAATAAATTCCTATGCGAAATTTAAAAATAAAGTTAATTTGGATGAAAAACAAATTATAAGTGCATTATTTTGTACTGAAAATAATAAAGCTGTTGGTAATTCTGAACCTGATAGAACAGATTAGATATTAGGATATCTATATGAATCTAATAAAATAAAAGAGCTTACTTCTTTTATCTTGAATTTGGGATAGCTATTGAGATGAGTTCAAATTCAATTTGGTATTATTTACCCAAACTATTCATAAAATAGTAAATTGAATTTAAGTAGAGGTAAAATTAGATATATAGTTGCAATTTCATTAATGAAAAATAGCAAAAGTAATTGAAAAAGAAAAAAAAAAAAAAAATAAGTAAAATAATATTTTTTTAAATGTTTTTTTTATTTTAAAATTTTTAATAAAACATTGATTAACATTTTTTGGTTAACTATAATAATATTGTTTGATTTTATTTAAAATTTTTATTATCAATTGATTTAAAATATAGATCTGCTAATTTACGTTATTGTAAAATGATTAATTATTATTACTAAATAAGTAAATTTTAAATAAGAAAGTTATCTATTAAAAAAAATTTGTAATACAAAATTGTTTATATATTTGTAATATAATTTTATTTAAAAAATCATCATTATAAAATTGCAACTATTACCGATATTGCAACATCATTAAAATAAATCCAAAAAAATCAAACAATTATTAAAATCAAACAGTTTATAAAATCCAAATTATTCTATAATAAAACAAATCATTCTTTAAATAAAAAAATGGATTATGAATATATAAGTAATAATAAAAATGATATATTTATAACTAGACTAATATATACTTACTATTGTAAAAGAGGTCAAATTATATCATTCACGATAATTAAAATATCAATCAAATTAAAGTTCATGATCAAAATTTAGATGTTAAATTTCATGAAAATATAATTGAAAATATCGATAATATTTATTATTTTATTATTATTTTATTTTATATTATTTTTTTTTTAAAATGAAAATAAATTATTTATACTTTCCTTTTTATATGCAATGCAATGCAGTGCTTAGCGCTTACAGCTTTAATGCTTAAACTTCAGTACTTTGCTACGAAATCAGATTATTTTAGCAATATTAGATCAATGTTGAACCAACATCGTTGGGAATTTTTTTTTAGTTTCTATATCCAAAACAAAACAGTGTAATATTATCATTGATCAGATTGATTAAGCTTGTCAAAAATATGCAATTTTTAAAAATTATTTTAATACATTTAGTTAAATAGCCAGATTAAAATGGTTAATTATAATTATAAAATTTGTAGATTTTTCACTTTTTAGGATCAGGACCTGAATCATCTTCTTTACATTAATCATGATTTAACGCCAAGAATTCTGTAATCAAGCTTTAGGAAGAATATCTAATGATAAGCAAAAAAAAAGCAGATGTAGGAGATTATACAAAAAAAAAATTAATAAAAAAGGTGTATTTTTTTTA